GTACACTTAATGGAGTTACAGGTGACTTTAGTTCCATCAGCTTATTTTATGCTTTCTATTTGTCCTGATTTTTGTATTTAGATTTATTTTATTCTTGCCCTCATTTAAAGTGATTATGTTTCTAATTTCATTACTCTTTAGTAATTTGGAAACTGTGCAATATGTTTTTATTTTTATTGTACTTGACCTAACAAAATCAAATACCATTAAACACCTTTGCTTTTTTAGAAATCTTTTGAGGAACAGTTTCTAAACATAATTTTCAATTTCATTTTAAATCCCTGCTAAAATTAGCATTATTGCACTTTTTTTATTTTAACCATAAATCTTGATGTTTTAAATTCAAATCTTCCATATGAAACCATCTCAAAATAAGAAAAAAAAAATAAACTTGTGTATTTATAAAAGCAAGGTAGAAATTATAAAGATAAAAGCAAAAATAGGGCCTCCCCTGGTGGCGCAGTGGTTGAACTCTGGGCTACGAAGCTGCCAGCAGCCTCTGCAGTGCTGGTTCGATCCCCTGCTGCCGGGGAGGGTCCCACATGGCCCGCAGACCTCTCCTGCCTTGCCCACTGCTCCCCTCAGCAGTGTATTTCATCAGTCTGCCTGTTCTGTTCCCCGCTCTGACTCTGGTGAATTCTCTCACTTTCCGGCGCTTCTGACTATACCCAGGGCTTGTATAAATAAATAAATAAATCTTTAAAAAAAAAAAAAAAAAAAAAGCAAAGATAATGTGTTGAAATATATATAAATGGTAAAATCATGTTTAATTAAATATTTGTTCATTTAAAAACCTAATAAATATAATTGCCTTTTTAGTATGGTGGGCAGCTCGTCAGCCTCATAAAAACCTAATAATATAGACAAAGTTATAATCAAGCATGAAATAGTAAAACTTGCCTTAAAAAGCTTTGATGTAAAATTCAATACTAAACATTTTGAAAACCTCATCTAATTACTATAAGGGAAAATATTGATGACCAAATCAGCCTGTGAAAGCCTGTATAAATCAAGAGTTATAATAAAATGAAAACATTAGCAAAGAATTTCCTTTTAAAGAATGCTACATTAGGTTTAATATGTGAGTTATAATCCTGTAATCCAAATAAATAGATCTTATATTATAAAATCTCAGAACATATGAAAAACTAGACACTGTTAGATAGAACATGCTTTTATTGTCTAGCATAACACTAATGCTGAAATTTGACAGTGTTAGAAAGAGAAAATAAAAATTTTGGACAAAATTCATTTTAAAATTATCAAATTTCATTTAGAACTATATTAAAAATTTTAATTTTCATGTATAATTTATTTTAGAAATTTGCAAATGAATCCATTTTGACAGCTTTATTAGATAATTTATATCAAAATGACAAAAGAAAAAAATGTGATTATACTTATATGCTGAAAAATTTTCTAAATTAGATTCATGATTTATTCTTGATATAAGGGAAGACATTCTAGTAATTTAGGAAAATCATTATGTTCCATTCAATATATTTGTTATTATATGATAAACAATATTGATTTTAAATCTGTGTCAATGTCATAGTTAATATATGACACAAAATGTATGTTGATAAAAGTCAGAAATGTACAAAAATGCTTTCTTCACTGTAATGTGTTATTTCTGGATATTTCAGCCAATGCAACAAGGCAAGAGAAAGAACAAAGTATTTATATATTGGCAATGGGGGGTTGATCTCCCCAAAAGGATCAGATAGACTTTTCACAGAGTAGGCCCCTTTCAAAGTATCCTAAAGTGTGAGCTAAAGGTCAGTCAAAGCCCTGTGTGTCTCAGAAAAATCTATCACCATTACTTAAAAGTATTTAACTTGAAAAACAGTTTCAAAAATTAAGTGAAGAAATGTATCCAAATAGTGCAGAAATCACTTTTAAAGAGAAATAAAACACTGTCATTATTGTAAAATTTGATATGAATCTTCAGAAAAGAAAGTCAAGAAATAACCATTTCTCTATTTCTTTATTATAATTATTATTTATTTTTTACATAATTGATCATTTTTTTGTTTGACCACATAAATGATTTTATTTTTTTGTTTTTTTACATCATTGTTCATTTTTAAACAATATCTGCTTACCCCCACCCCCTCAGGTGTAGTCTCCATAGAGTTTCCTTCACCAATGCACCTGTGCACCATCACCACAGTCCCCAGTGTTCCTCCCTCCCTCCCTCTGATCCCTCTCCCTCCTCCTCCCCTGTAGCATGTCTCTGCTTTATAATTACCTGTTTTTGCTTTGCTGTGTTTTGAACTGTTATTATTTTTTTACACTGATGTCTTATTAGGTTCCCTATATTCCTGCTATAAGTGAAACCATCCAATATTTTTCTTTTTCCTTCTGGCTTATTTCACTGAGCAAAATTCCTTCTAGTTCCATCCACATTGCTGCGAATGGCATGAGTTTATCTTTTTGATCGCTGAATAATATTCCACTGTGTATATATGCCAGGTCTTCTTGATCCAGTCATCTATTTTGGGGCATTTGGGTTGTTTCCAGGTTCTACCTATTGTAAATAGTGCTACAATAAACACAGGTGTACAGGTGTTTTTTTTTTAATCCATGTTTTTGTGTCCTTTGGGTAGATCCATGGGAGTGGAACTCCCTGGGTCATATGTTAGCTCCATTTTTAGTAGACTGAGGAACCTCCAGACAGCTTTCCATAGTGGTTGGACCAGTTTGTACTCCCACCAGCAATGTAGGAGTGTTCCTTTTTCACCACATCCTCACCAACATTTGTTGTTGCTTGTTTTTTTGATATGTGCCATTCTTACTGGTGTAAGGTGTTATCTCAATGTGGTTTTAATTTGCATTTCCCTGATGATAAGGGATATTGAACATTTTTTCATAAGCCTATTGGCTATTTGCATTTCCTCTTTGGAGAAATGTCTTTTAAGTTCTTCTGCCCATTTCTTGACTGGGTTGTTTATTTTGTTTTTGTTGAGTTGTGTGAGTTCTTTGCATATCTTTGTGATCAGTCTCATGTCAGTTGACTGGAATGCAAAGATTTTTTCCCAATCAGTGGAATGTCTCTCTGTTTTGGTTAATGTCTCTTTTGCTATGCAGAGGCTTTTCAGTTTGATGTAATCCCAGGTGTTTATATTTTCCTTGACTTTCTTGACTTTGGGTGATGAGTCTTTAAGGACATTATCGTGATGTATGTCTTGTAGTATTTTAACTATATTTTCTTATATATTTTATGGTGTCAGGTTTTATGTCCGGTTCTTTTATCCATTTTGAGTTGATTTCTGTGCATGGTGAAAGGTAATGGTCTCGTTTCATTTTTTTGCATGTGGTGGTTATCCTATTATTTTAAGAGCTGTGTAGGCCTTGAGAACTTTTGGACATTTTCCCTTTTTCCCAATTAAAGAAGCAATCTTTGCTCCCCCTTTTAATGACCTAGAAGAATGTAATTTGGAGATGTTATACAGGTGTAGTTTTGTTAGTGAGCCTGTCCTCTCTATCAGGTTCTCATCTTTATTTTAGGAGTAAGGTTGAAGTCATCCTCCATGTCTGTTACGTGAAGTCTCCGACCTCTCCTTGACACCCAAGTCCTTGAACAGGATAAATATCAACAGTCTGCTCCATTACTCTTTGTAATTTGCAGCCATATAAATTCTCCATATGTGTGTTATTAAATTTTGGTCTTTTTCCCTGCTATCTGCTAATATTAATTTTTTCATCTATCCAGTGTCAGAAGAACTAAGATATGAGGTATGGGAATTTTTCCTTGTACCCATCAGCAACAAGAGGGTACAATTATTAATAGAGAATTTTGTGGCTTTCTGGAAAAACTTTAAAAATCAACTGAAATAGTATTATAACAGAAAAGTTTAATATTTGATTAATCAGAAAATAGCGAGGTCAAAAATCATAGCTTTCCTATGATTCTACCTATACAAACCATAAAACTTTTACAAAATGAAAAATGAATTTAAATATAAAATATTTAAATAAACGATGCACCAATGAAAGAGTTTTTTAGTAATCTGATTTCATGCCTTACCAGAGAGGTCAGTGTGTGATTCACCCCTTTCTTCATCTTTGAGGCAGTGAAGGCAGCTCATTTTTTAAGGAAGCAGGTAGGTATTTAGGACTGTCATCCCTACAAAGGAGTTATATGTAAAGATTTATAATAGTTAGAATGGTGGACCTAACTTTGCTAAAAGGAAAGAGAAATTTGTGAGCCTTTTCTTTCTATAAGACTTAACAAATAAAGCATGGATCCTGGAGAATTACTAGCATAAGCAAAAGTCTCAGTTACAGAGGTTCTGATCAGTTATAGCTGACTACATTCTGAGTGCACTTCTATGGAACACTCAGAAGGTTACTGTGAGTGAAATTACAAGGTTTGAGTGTGCCCAAGTGAGGTATATCTCTGACTCCAGTATTAGCAAACAGGATATGAATTCAATGTGGGCCTATATTCCTTTGTAGGACCAGTTGACCTAGATAAGTGTTTGAGCAAAACAATTACATTGCAGCACAGAGAAAAGAACAGGGGTACAAATGATTACTCATTGTGTATCCTTTCCCAGAAAGGGATAAATCGGGACCACTGAGAGAACAGAAGGCAAAAGAAGGATTCTCCCGGACTCTAGAGTTGAATGTTTAAGAGTTTATCTGCAACTAAAGATGCCTCCCAGCTCCCAATAATCTTAAACTAGCCAAGTGAAGCAAGTAAATTCTCATAGAATGGTTCTGGAACTTCCATCTGTCTTGATGGTAGGACCTAGAAAAAATAATAAGATTTGATAAAATAAAGACAAAAATGTGACCATATTTTCTTCCTTCTGTTACTAGTAAATTTTTATTATTACAAAAGACAATTCCATTATATACAAAATGTTGATACTATACAAATCCAGTTAATGGGATAGGACTTTTTTAACTTGAAAAACAGGTTCTAAAATTAAGCTGAAGAATAAATTTATCCATTAGTAGAGAAATTACCTTTAAAAAGAAATAAAATACTATATTATTTTTGTAAAATTTGATGCAAATCTTCAGAAAAGAAAATCAGGAAATAGCCATTTGTCTTTTTTTTAAACTGAGGTAATATTGGGGTATTCATTAGGTATTACCATGATAGTGTACCCACAACCACCTCAATTATATTTCAGCATTGACTATTTTTAAGAAGGGTAAATGCTGGTCTTTAGTAGTTAAATGTTTGCTTTAATATGTCTTAGGAATATTGACTCAAAAGTTTAGAAAGATCCTGATTTTTAAAAACAATTACCCTCCATGAAGCATAGTGTTTAATCTTGCGATTAGGCTAGACTTGATTATTACTTATGAGAAATGACATTTACATAAAATGTTTGATTTCTAAAATAACATTTTACCACATTTTATTATAGACAGCAATATTTGTTAAAAAGTTGTAAATAGCTTTGCTTGTTCACTTAAAATTATAGACTATATTTGAAACAAAAGTTTGGTTTTTAGCAGGTAGTAATTACACTGATGATAAACCATCATTCATATAGCTCCAGTAAACTCAAGAAATAAAATAGGGTTGAGAAAAATTTTTAATTATAGCCAAACAACAATTCTATGTTTAAAAAAATGTATTTCACCAGTAAAAGTTATTCAAAAAGATTAACTTTAAAACACAATACAGACTATCAATTTGTCATGAGAATTATAGTGCTATGATTCACATGAATTATGTCTAGATGATGACTAAGATCCTAGGGTAAACCTCTTCAGTGTCAAATAAAAGAACCACCTAAGCAAAAGATGTAAGATTAACCTCCATTTTAGTTTCAGAGAGGAATAGCTGGCCTCTACTGCAAAACTGGAGTCTAGGGCCATATCAATTTGTGTCTCAGCTGAATTATCTATTAACATCAAGTAGTATATATGGTAGGTTACAAATGCATTCATGGATTAAGGAGCTGAGCTCTGAAGAAGTGTCAACAGATTTATATTCTGTATGCATTAAGAGAGATGAACACAAAAATGAAAGTAGGGTTAAAGAAGAGGTAAAGGAAAATTGATCAATGGTTTTTAAAACTGTAAATGTTATTTCAGTTTTAGTAAAATGTGTGAGACTTGGGATTTCCCTATAATGATAGATATTTAATAATCTCTCCACATACCCTCTAAAGACTGTGCAGATTATATATCATCTGTTAATCCTCATAATTGCTACCATCTACTTACAACCATTTCCTCTTGTATGTCAATATTTGCAGCCAGCTATGCACTATTATTCCTTCCAGTAATTATGCCTGTTTTGATTCAAGACTACTGCAAAATACACAAATCTTTCCAATATCCAAACCTTGTACTATCCCATACATCTCCAAAGGTCTTTCTTCCACTCTACCACTAAAACTCCTTCCCATGATCATATATTATACTTTTATCTCTACAAACAACTGTTTAATCATAAAATTCAAGCTTATATAGTTTCCTCAATCACCACCATCTTCTGTCCTCCCAGTTTATTCCTCTGATTGCCTCACTCCAACCACCCCTTGACCATACTTGGACTTCCAGTCTGTTGATCCTACTGCCTTGTCACTCTCCCCTTGATGTTAGAATAGATTTGAATAGATACCTTGGGCAACCAATTAAATATGTAGGTAAGGGAAGAGAAATAATTCTGGATGATTTCCACATTTGCCTGCCTCCATCTACAACATTTTCACCATATACAGACAGAATATTTTAAGCTACTAATCTCTAACTTTTATACTTTTCCTTTTTTTTAAATCATAAGAATATATTTTAATGGGAAGCATGAAGTTTATAAAAACAAGTTTTTGCCACTCTAGTGGAGTCTACAAAGTCATAAATGGTCAAAAGAGGATTAATGGACAAAATTCTAATGCTGAGTTTATTTTTATTTTTTAATTGTTTATTTTGTATTGAGGAAACATTGTTTTACAATACCACAAATGATTTAGGGGTATAGCTTCACACTTCTTCACATGTATGTTAATGTACAACTCACCACCAAAGCACCCATAATCCTCCACCATAGTCCACTGGAACTCCTCCCCACTTTGCACTTTAACTTCCACCCTCCCCCTTTGTTAGCCTCAATTCTACAGATTTCTAGTACTTGTTTTGCTTTACTTTTGTCTGTTTTGTTTTGTTTCTTTATATTCCACATATGAGGAAAATCATCTGGTGTTTGTCTTTCTCCTTCTGACCTATTTTGCTTTACATAATCCTCTCCATTCCATCAATGTTGTTACACATGGCAAGATTTCATCTTTTTAATAACAGAGTAGTATTCCACTGTATATATAAACTACATCTTTTATCCATTCCTCTGTCTTTGGTAATTTAGATTATTTTCATAATTTGACTATTGGAGATAGTGTTGCAATGAACATAGGAATGCATCTATCCCTTTGAATTATTGTTTTTGCATTCTTTGGATAGATACCCAGGAGTGGAATTGCTGAGTCATATGACTGAGCAATTTTAATATTTTGAGAAACCTGTTTACTATTATCCATAGGAGCTGGGCTGGTCTGTTTTCCTACCAACAGTGAAAGGATTCCTTTTCTCCATGTCCCCACCAACATTTGTTGTTTCTGGCCTTTTTGTGGTGGACCATTCTCACAAGTGTGGTGTAGTGTCTCACTGTGGTTTGATTTTCATTTCCCTGATAATAAGAGATGATAAGCATTTGTTCATGTTCTTTTTGGTCATCTGTAGGCTGAATTTTTAGCTCCACTTTCTGAGAAACTCCAGAGATTTATTTCTAGATGAAGCATAGCTGAAATTTTACAACCTCTATTACAATACAGAAACTTCAAAGGACATGCCTTACTGAATAATATATTGACTGTCTACAATTTTGTTAGCAAAGATAGCATATATATCAATACTTGGAGGTACAGTGATGCAGGCAATCTTGAAGTCAGTTTTTGTGGTTGAACATGTGACAATGTGTGTGCACAGAGGAGACATCATGAGTGGTAGTTCAGAGTAATTTTTTTCATAAAAAGACTATGTTTTAAAATGCTAGTCCATTTATTTTTTTGTCATTTTCTGTCACACAGTGAAACATACCTTTCAATCAGGCTATCTGGTTAAACCGTAGGAATCTAGGCTTATCTTCAAGCTGGACAGCTTCATTTATTTCATTAAAGTTAAATGGGAGAGATTTGGGGTGTTGAAGCAGTTGTATCAAAATCATTTATTCCCTAACTATGTTGAACAGAGAATCGCAGCTGTATGCTAAGTAGGGTCTATAATCTCCAAAGGATTTTGACTCCAAGGTGTTAAAGGTAGTACATGCCAAACCAGGTATTTACTGTCGCCCTAGTGAAAGGCTCTGCAATCCCAAAACAGAAGACACACAACACTTCTGTTATAATCATTCTCAAAAGCTACGGTGAAAAAAAATCACAAATATAGGCCATATTCAATCACAATCTTTTAAATGACATACTACTTTTTGTTATTATATGTCATATTCTATTAAATCACTGTCTACTCCCCCCCCCTTGTTTTAAATCTCAGTTTGTTAGAGAAACTAGAATTAACTTAGTCTATAAAATATCCAACATTATGGACTTGACTGATTGATTTCAAACTTGTTCCTTGATCCCCAATATTGCCTAACTACTAATATGATAGAAAGATCTAGAGGCTTGATCAGCTCCAGGTTCATTTTTTTTTCTTCAAAATTACTTCCTGGGGAGGGTATGTAAGCACTTTTACTGCTTAAGATCAGGAAGTAAATAATTTCTATTGGCAAAAGTTTGATAAGTTAAAAAAAACTTAGCCTGATTCCTCCCTGATACTGTTTTGTTCCCCATCAAACTTTAGTGGCCTGGTTTCAGTGTGCACAGATAACCATTTCCTAGCTGCCACTTTCATTAGGGGTAACTTCTAACATTTTAATGCATCTGTTCAGTAAATATCTTTCTCTCTCAAACTGCTTTATTTCTCCATGGTAACATTGTTAAGGATAAAGGATATTTCTTCTAAGTAATGAGATTGTGCCCTAGCACCCTCCCAAAATGGTCAAGGAGGTATGCCTGTGCTTGGGCATGTGGGTGTATGAGTAATAATGAACTTACTTTATATTCATGTTTATGCATTTGTGTGTATGGTGGTCATTATTTGTTTTGATGCTCATATTATCTCATTTTAGGTTATGTGATTCTCCTGTTTTTGTGACATGATTCATAAATTCTAATCACTACCTTGCCACCTAGACTCATCTTTCATATTTCCTGTCCAGTATATTTCCTGACTCAGCAATTTCTCCTAAAAGCCCTAAGTTACTTTTAGTTAGAAATAGTATTTAGAGACCACAGTCTGAAAGGCAGATGTACTGATTGCTATTGTGTAGTCATTGCTTCAAGGGCTTAACAGTGGAATAACAGAAAATATTTTTAATTTCTTAAGAAATATATAATGTAGTCTTCTACATGTGATAGATTCAAAATAACAATATCAATGTAACTAATAATTATAAAACTACTGAATGCATTTTCATATTTCTTCAGAATTTATTTCATCCTTAGATTTTATCCCTCAAAAGGTAGAGTCAAAATACTGATTTTGAAAGTCACTGAAAATAATGATATACCCTTTGTGTAGTTATGCTGCTAATTGATGTTCATCTGAGTTCAACTGTTTTGGTATGCTTCCAATTTTATTTTATTTTATTTTTAAAGATTCATTTAGTTATGCATACAAGAGCTGGGCGTGTAGGCCAGACGTGCAGGGCATGAGAGGATTCATCAGAGACAGAGTGGGGAACAGAACAGGCAAATTGACTGAAATACACTGCTGAGGGGAGCAGCGGGAAAGACAGGAAAGGTCTGCTGCACCATGTGGGTAGCTCCCTGGCTGGCTGAGAATCCAACTCATGCTGCAGTGGTTGTGGATAGCTTCAGAATGCTGCTTCTTAACCCCTTGTGCCACCAGGGAGGCCCTGCTTCCAATTTTAGAGGAAATGCTTTTTATTCTTTCTGATTTGATTCTGGTTTTTAATTATGTGAAAATTTAGAAGGGCTGAGATCAGAACAAGATAATGTACATTTACATCAATTTCCTCTATTTATATGTTCAATGTCTGCTTCCTCTCTCCCTCTGTCAGTAACCATTTTAAATATCATTTTATACCTTTGTTGAGATGTGTGTTTGTTTATTCATACTGTTCTTGACCCTGATTTTTTAAACGTATTCTGAGGATTAGATAATATCTATACAGAGATGTGTTACCCAATTTTCATCCATAATTTCTTCAGTCCCCTATTGATGAGCATCTGGTTTGTTTCCCATTTTTAGTTATTCCAAATAATAAATCATTGCATATCCTCACACATATGCTATTTTGTATTTTTGTGACAAGACTTCTGGGATTGAATTTTAAAAGAGGGCTTGCTCAAGCAAAGAGCAGGCGCAGTTATAATTTTGTGAGATCAGAGGCATACTTTTAAAAAATTTAATCTTGCCCCAGAAGGTTAAGAATTTAAAAAATATTTTTCAGAGAAAAGAAAAAACTCTTGAAGTGGAATGATCATATCTGTCACGGATAATTTACCAGTGGAATTAAGTTATTAAATTTCTGCTTGGTCTCTGATGTAACAAACACCTTGAACAGTACAAAAATGGTAAACACTTTAGTAGCCTTCAATCCACTATGTCTTGGGAAAAAAATGTAACAGCAGTAAAACTATTAAAAATCATCTATCTGTATGTACACACAAACATATACATGTGAGTAGGGACAAATGGATAGAAGGGAGAGGAGTGTGGATTTTTTCCCTCCAGAGTTCATTTCTGATTTCAATACATTTGCTAGCTTTTTAATTCAGTCAAAAAAGTATTGTCTTTTAAATGACTGTGATGCTGTGACTTATATATATATTTGGTCTTCTCCCACAAGTCCCTCCCTGACTCACAGCTCCCAAAACCTTTGAAATTTCCTAAGTGTTGTAATGTGAACCAAGGGCCTTTTGGAAGCTCCTAAGCACAGGGGCCGGCTGCCAGGAGAACCACCCCTGTGATTAGAGGGCTGGAACTTTTCAATTCCCCTCTTGACCTTCTTGGAGGGAGAGGGCTGGAGACTTAATCAATTATGATTATGTAATGAAGCCTCCATAAAAACCCAAAAGGACAAGCTCAGAGAACTTCTTACTTGGTGAAGGTATGTTTTTGGTGAAGCGTGACACATCCAGAGAAGGCGTGGAAACTCCATGCCCCTTCCCGCATTCCTTATCTTCTGCATCTCCTCCATCTGACTGTACCTGAGCCTTTATAATAAATGGGTTACCTAGTGAGTAAATGGGTTTCCTCTGTTCTGTGAGAGATTCTAGCAAATTAATAGAACCCAGTGAGGAAGTCATGGGAACCCCTGATGTATAGCCTAGCTGGTGATTTTATTTGCAGTGTGTATGTGGTGGAAAAGTGGAAGGGGTCAGAAACTGGGAGGTCTTCTTGGATGAAACCCTTCACCTGTGAAATACAATGCTATCCCTGTGAAATATAGTGTATCAAAAGTGAGTTAAATTCTCAGATACTCACTGGTATCTGAGTATTGCTTGTCTGTTGGTGTGAGAAACCCTTTCTCCCACCTGAATTTGATGATCAGGACACTCACTTAATGAAATGATGGAAACAGGAGTACATTGATAATGTCTACACAAATACTATGCATTTGTAGTATTTTTTAAAGTTTTGCTAAAGTTGCAAGTAAACAATTTATTACAAGGGCTATAGCTCAAGAACAACCTCAAGAAATGGGTCAGTCATGTTTGGGTTACATCTTAAGAATTCAACCTCATAAAAATGTTGTTAAAAGGTAAATCAAAAACAAATGGGTTCACATTTGAATAGCAAAAATACACAAATCTTAAAAAGTACCTCGTATTAGTAAAAAAGTGGTGAATAAAAATCACTGGCGATTGGTTTACTCATGCTACCATATTATTCATCAGATGTATCATAAACACAGTAACAATCACATAATATATAGAACAAAAGTGTTAAAATGGCTTCTTCTGAATTTTTAGACTTCTATTGGCTAACACAAGCCTTGTCATCTTCTTAATCTTTTTCTTCTTCGGGGCTAAAGTCAACAAAATAAAAATAAATATCATATGTCTTCAACTTGCAACTCCACTATAAATAACCATTTCCAATATGCTCGCAAATTCATCTGACTTTTAATGATTTTCAAAGCTAACTTTATTCAGTGTACACTTAGTTCATAACACTCTACATTTAAAACACAGGGACACAGCCACTGTCCACTAGCCATTATCAGCATGTTCACAAAACTGATTAGTACCAAAGTGCTATTTAATGTAGAAGTAGTCTGGAAATGGCAATATGCTATTAGTAAAATGGATATATAAAAATATAATTTTGCTTATGAATTATTTATAAAATTAGTTTAAAATTAAATAAGAAAGAAATTACTACCTTTTACACAAACGTGTTTGCAGTCCTTCATGTTAACAAAGTTATTGTCATTCCCTCCACAGCCAGTGTAGGTGAAAGCCTCACAGGCTCTGTGTCTTGGATTAAAATAATAGCGAGTCACATTAGCAGAGCATAGTCCCTCATCTTTTGGGAAATAGCAAAATGATGGACCTTTATGGAAAATAAAAGAAAATAAGAAATTCTGTTATACAATTACTGCTAAACTATGGTTGTTACTAAAGTAACCTTAGAAAATTGAATCCCATTGATACTTCATTCTGAATCCAAAATATCACATTAAGCCATTTACAAAGTGTTCCTCAAACTCCAAGAGAGCTTACATGCTATAGTTTAGTAATTCTATTTTTATATGTATATTTTTTATGCCGTTCTTCATTTTTTTACAATATATGCTTTCTCATCTCGGTTACAGTCCGTGAAATTCCCACCATCAATTCACCCATGTACCATCACCATAGTCCCTTGTGCTCTTCCCACCCCTGTTTTGATCCTGCTCCCTTCTTCCCCACCCCCCCCCATGTCTCTTGTTTATAGTTGCTTGTTGATTTTGATTAATTCTTATTTTTTTAAGATTTATTTATTTATCAATACAAGAACTGGGGTACAGGCCAGAGATGTGGAGAGGATGCACCAGAGACAAGAGTGGGGAGCAGAACAGGCAGATTGACTGAAATCCACTGCTGAGGGAAGCAGGGGGAGAGGCAGGAGAGGTTTGCTGTGCCATGTGGGTCACCTCCCTGGCCAGGGATTGAACTCGTGCTGCAGTGGCTGCAGATAGCTTTATAGGTTGCATCTTAACCGCTTGTGCCACCAGGGAGTCAGAAGAATTTCTTCTGACTATGTCTTTGTGTCATTTAAATGTGTGAAGAAATTAAACCCCCAAAACAGATATACTCAGGGAAAAGTGGGCTGTGTTTCAAGGGATGATTTATGTTTTGGTAAACTTTCTTGTGCTGGCAGTTTTATTTTAAATATTTTTAATCTGCTCTCTTTCCATTATTAATCAAGTCTCCATGTATTGAATTCCCATATGGCCACTGGAACATTTACATTTACACAAACAGTTTAAGAGAACGCCAGCAACAGTCATCTTCTCATTAATTTAAGATTTTTCATATTCAGCACAGTATTCTGTAGAGCTTCATCGATGCTTCTGTCAAAGCAAGGCTCCCTCACTTGTTGAATTTATCTGTCTATGTACATGTGTTTCTACTGTGCCCAGGGGAAAATGCCTGTATTATCTCTTTTTGCAAAATATTAAATAGTGCCTAAGTAACCCATTATTTCAAGGACTGCAAGGGGGTGAGGTGTGGGTAGGATATTTGTAAGAAAGGGGGAGGGGAGAAAAGAGGGATAGAGATCACTGGGTGCTGCATTTTAACTACTAAAGAATATAAATATCTAACCAAAAACCCTAGAAAGTGATTTTCAAGTTTCACCATCTTAAATTTGTATATAGCCCACTACCTTATATATAGAACTGATTCTGTACAAAACTGAAGTCATGACATTCATTAATGAGTATCATAGTGGGTGTGTGTGTGTGTGTGTATATTGAGTAGATGAGAAATAGCTCTACAGAAGAGGAAACAAACTTGAATCACGGCTCTCTCACTGTTTAGCCCTGAGAACCTGGCAATTCAATAACTTCTCTTTGCTTCTCCTATGAAATCACCAGAATACAAATCATGTTAATTCCACATCAGATTACTGATTTTTTTTTTTCACCCTACAGTTTTAATGAAGAAATGAATGGATTTTTTAAAAATGATAAAATTGTGTCTTTTGGGACATAATACATGGACCTCGAGGTGATTATGTTAAGTGAAGTAAGTCAGAAAGTAAAAAATAGATATTGCATGGTTTCATTCATCTGTGGAATATAATTCAGCAAAAGACATACACAGGCAAAATACAGAAGGCATAAACCTCAGTGAAAGAATTTAGTGCTTACCAGAAGAAATAGGGCAGGAGGGTGGGGAAAGGATGGTTTGGCATGGGGGGTTTGGAGGAGTAAAAATGTTGACACCAAAGTCAATGTTTTTTAAAAGGAAATGAATAGAAAGACCATAAAATTTTATCTTTACCTTTCTTTGGTGCACAGAAGCCCATACAAGTAGCTTCATCTGGGAAGCGATTCTTATTGCTGTGACACCCACCAGACTTGAATTTTTCACATGCCATAGAACTTAAATTGAAGAAATATTCTTCTCTGGACTCTCCACATGGCCCCTCACTGACTTCCAACCGGCAGATTTTGGGAACTTCTAGGAAATGAAGGGCATAAAAATTAAACTTACTAGTATGCTTTCAAAATTTTTCTGTGCTTTCAGAAACTACTGAGGGTGGGGGGGCAAACATCATATTTAATGCTGGATTTGTGAATCCCCCAAGACTGCATTAATGTAGTTATTTAGAGTTTCTTTTCTTAACAGTGTACCCAGACCTGACTTAGTCATGATAAATCTTTCGAATTCAGTGGGAATACTGTTCTCTTAGGGTATTCTGTTTCTACATATAAAGTTAATTAACCTTATCCACAGCAATATGCTTTTTTCTCCTGCCTCAGTTCCTTGGATGGGAAAGCCTCATATTCTGTTACAGGCTTAACAAATATAATAAACATAATAAAAATAAAATAGAAAACAATATAGTGACTCTCTGATAAATCCCTATACTAGTGGGAGATATGTTTGGTTATAAGGAGACAAAAGTAAAGTTATAATTAGCTAAGGCACATTTAAAATAATAAAATCCACTAAAATTATTCAGATTGCTAGATAATCACTGGAAAGAAACGGTGTTCTCAAGGAGACATAAAAACCACACATTTAGAACTAAGGACAAATACAGAAAAGTACTTATGTTGCACCTAATACACTGTACTTTTGCATTGTTATGCCCTATAGTGAGGTAACAGATCTTTCTGAGTCCACAGATACTGAGGAGAGATAACATGTATTAGAGTTTGTAAATTTGTGATTACTTTCAGGAAACTGAAAACCAGTGGGTCTTGTTTAATACTTGAGAGAAGCAGCCTAAAACTTAAAATAGAAAATAGGATCTGGAAAATTAGCGAAGATACGATCAGGCTATCTTTGAAAGCAGTGTAAGTATGCGAGGGAACACTTACTCTCTATCCTCCAGCAAGCTTCATTGCAGGCTGACCAAGTTTCAAAATTGTTGGCATTGCCCAAGCAGCCCCCGTACATGAAGGGCTGGCAGCTCTGCGTGTACCTATCATAGTAGTAGCTGGGGATCCTCGCCCGGCAGGGCCCCAGGTCCAAGGGCAGGAGGCAGGTCTCCGCGGCTTTGTTTCCTAGTGGCGGGGCCAGGAGAGCCAGAGAAACAAGGTCAGCTACGGCTCCCAGCGGGAGAGACTTTCCGGAGAGGGGAGTTCTGTTGCCCCCCGCCCCACGCGCACCGCCCCCCACGCCCCAACCCTCAGCTGCTTCCAAGCAGAAGGCCTCCGGGAGGCAGAGAAACTGCAAACTTGAACACTTGGACGTGCGTGCCCTTTTGAGCAGCGCCCTGGCCGTGTGGCAGGAGCCTGGGGAAAGCGGGAAGGAGAGGGGGCCAAGGGGTGACCCCTGGGTCGCCAAGCCTGCCTTGCTGCCCTGACTAAAGGAAGTCAGGATGAGGGGTCCCTGGCTGGGGCTGGTACCTTGTGGCGCCCCAGCAGCATCGCCCAGCGCACTCCGCAGCAGTAGCAGCTGCAGAAGCAACAACCCGAGGGGGCAAGTGGGGTCCATGGTGTCAGGGTTCCAGTGGTCGGCGGGTGAGGTGTCCTGAGAACAAGCCCGGGGCAGGAAGGTCTTCAGTGCCCAGCCTCGAGAGGTGACCTGAGTGCCGGTGCAGGGGTTCGCGCTTTATGTGGCTTGAGTGCCCTCCCAGCCCCGGACAGGGCGGAGCGAGCCTGTGTGGAGCAGGGGGGCAGGGGAGAGGGTGGGGGAGGCTGAATCATGCCCTGCGGGCTGTCACTCGGTGCCTCAGGGCTTCTGAAAAGCGTAGTGTGTGTGTGCTGGGGAGAGGAATTCCCCACTAAGTTGAACCTGCCTCCCAAACTTTCTCCCGCGCCCACGCGGGAGAGCCCAGATTGGGTCTCTGTGTCAGTGATGAGAAATCTGCGAGCTAAAGGGAAGTGACCTGGGCCGATTGCTCAACTTTCCGACTTCTGGGATCTCCCTGAAGCCTGAATCCACATCTTGAAAAAGCACGAAGTCCACGTATTTAAAGGGCGAGTGGAGAGAAAGCTGTATTTGTTTGTTTATATATATTAGGCTTCGAAGGAAATATGTAGGCATATATATGGGACTTTTTTTCTATTGTCGGTGCATCTGTGAAAGTGCATTGCTCTTTTTACATATTAGCTTCACGCTCATTTTTATTGATACGTATTATCAAAGCCTGAGTCTTGTTTTTAATTGCATAAGCCAATTTCTCACCCTGGAATTTCGCGTGAAATATTAAAGCTATATCTGTGTCGACATAGTTCCTTCAAAGTCTGATTTACATTAAATAAAAGGATCAATATATCTGAACTATATCATTTGATGAATTTTGATAACTATATATACTGTTAAAATGACCACTCCAATCAAGAATTAAAACATTCCCATCATCCAGAAAGTTCTCTCCTTCCCCTTCCCATTTCTTCCCAATCCCCCAGGCCAGGGGCAACAGCTTTTCTGACCCCCTAAGACTGGTTTTGTCTGTTCTTGCATCTCATGCAACTGAAGTCATAAAGTTTGTATTGGTGTCTACTTCTTTTGCCCCACTGCTGTTTTTGAGGTGCTGCTGTGTATAATTCATTCCCTTTAATTTGCTGAGTAATGTTCAAAGGATGAATATATCATACATGTCTTGTTGCTGGACGTTCGTGTTTTTTCTAGTTTGGGACTATTATAAAGAAAGATGTTTTGTGTGAACAAACTTTTATTACTCTCAGATAAAATGTTCACAAATATTAGAAACTATCAGATAGTTTTTCAAAATTATACCATTTTATACCCCTGCTGGTCATGGGTGTGAGTTTTTGAGCTATAACAAGAAAGTCCGAAGAGAGGTGGTCTTGAGGGTTTCTGAAATTTGACCACATCAACCCTTCCCACATTTTTCCTATTGTCAGTGTGTCTGTTAAAGTTCATTGCTCTTTTCCATATTAGTTTCACACTCATTTTTATTTATCCACATTATCAGAGCCTGAGACTTGTTTTTAATTATTTAAACCAATTTCTCACACTGGGCTTTCATGAAAAATATTGAAGATATTTTTGGAGAACATTTTAATGTTCTTGATAAATGTGTGTTCCCTTCCTCCTCTCTCCCTCTCATTCTACTTTCAAGAGAATAACTATTCCTGGCTTCTCCTGATATTGAGGGAGTTTCAGCTGTTTTCTCCCAAATTTCTGAGTTCTCCACTGACGTTGCAGTAATAGTCTGGGATATTTTGTACACTTTATTTCCTGTGGCATTTTTCAGTTATTCTGATGTCATGACATTGAGTCATATTCCTGAGAAGGAAATAGTGGCTATACTTATACTGTCATATTTCCCAGATTTCTGTAATTAAGAAGGGCAGTCAAAGATATCCAGGTAAATGTTTAACAACCAGCTCTCCAGCAATGAAAAAAGAAAACAAAAAAGCAACTGGTGTGCTGTTTACTGATTTCCATGGTGTCGGTGTTAACACTATAACCACATTTTAGTGCACTCCTACATACAGAATTGGAAATAGATGGGTCCAATCGATTTGCCAGACCAATGTGAACTGATTCCAGCACACCAGTCACTGGGACAGTCATATCCATAGGACTGTCAAATTAAACCCTCATAAGTACCTCCCAAATATTATTAGGAGAGGAAGTTTTACCATTTAGTCAGGATCACGTTCAGGAGAAAAGTTAATTCAACGACCAATTAAACCTATTTTCATTCTTCTAAATATGATTAAATATATCTTCCAAATGGATTAAAATAAAAGTTGAGGACTGACGCTGAGTCAAACCTGTCATTTAGCATTGACTACTGTCACTTATTTTTTTTTTTTTTTTAAGATTTATTTATTTATTTATACAAGCACTGGGTACAGTCAGAAGCGCGGGAGGGTGAGAGAATTCACCAGAGCCAGGGCAGGGAGCAGAGCAGGCTGAAGGACCGAAGTACACTGCTGAGGGGAGCAGCAGGCGGCAGGAGAGGTCTGCGCGCCATGTGGGACCCTCGCCCAGTGGCCAGGGATTGAACAGGCGCTGCAGAGGCAGCACTCAACCACTGCGCCACCAGGGGAGGTCCTGTCACTAATGTTCTTTTTGTCCTAGCTGCTGGTACTTTTTGGTCATCTTTTGCCTCATATGAAAAGGGAAATCCTTTGAATTAGGGAAGATTATTTTGGGAGATGGTATTTGCAATGAGCAGGCAGTCTCGGGAGTCAGAGGAAAGCTGGATTTTATTCCTTGCTCCTTTGGTCAAGTCATTTAAGCTTTCAGAGCCTCAGTTTCTTTATGCCAAATGGGTGTAACAACATAACTTACAAATGTGTTATGAAGATGGAAGTGCCAAGGCACTCGAAGAATTAGCGCAGACTATACAATCAGATTAAAAGAAAGGAAATTACACTTTTTAATTGCAATACACTAAAATGTTTTCATGTCCATGAAAAATGGTATCTCCCAAATAAGGGGAATCTAAATTTGTGGGGCTATTGAAATTACCAGCTGTCCTTAGAATCATCTGGAAGGAGCAACATCAGCCTTAATGGGGATGCCATACCACCTTTTTCTCCTTAAACTAGTGTTTAGGCCAAAAGGTTACCAGAGGCTGAGGAAATTTCCTTTGTCCAGAGGCAAGGGAAGTACAAGGCTGGGAGGGAGCTGGGAACAACAGCCACCCAGATGGAGTTGTCATTACTGTGCTGAGAGGTTTAGTGACTGTGGCTAAAGACAGAGGCTCAGAATAGCTTATCATTCTAGAAAATAGGACATGGCGTTCTTACAATTTGACTGCTGAAAGAAATGATAAATATTATCTACTCCTATATTTTCATTTTACAGAATTATTATTTGAAAGCTAGAAAGATAAAATGCCTCATCTTCTTTATTTACCATACTTGTTGGCAGAGCTGAGATTAGAATGAAAATTCTTGATCCTCAGCCCTGCATTCTTTCTTACATACCCGAACCTGGGCTCTTTCTACTAAAATCTTAGAACACTAAACATCAGAATTAAAATATATAAGCACTGCAGCAAGTTGAGGAGCCCCTCTACATGTGTCAGAGTCCTGCTTCTGTTATTTCTCAACTCCCCACCCCCCACGCTGATTTGGAACACATTCACCCCTGGGATCCCTAAAACTTGAGCATGGTGTTCTAACTTCTGAGAGCACCACAAAAATGGTAGGTGACCATGAATTTAAGGAAAGAATTGAAGTAGATGGTCTTCCCCTGTCGGACACTGTAGAGAGGCAACATGTCTAGCTCATGGGTGAAAGAGGAGAATAAATGAACCCAGTAATTTGTAGATACATATTCTATAACTCAGTCACTTAAGGAGTTATGCTGATACCTTCTTACTAAACAGAGACAATTTTTGCTGCTTGTTAAAGTGCTGTCCAAATAAAATTTGAGATTAGTCCAGCTGGCACTAGCAAAGAGTTTACACATCTGCTATGAAAGATAGTTAATCTCTTCTGGAAGAACAGGGTCCACAAGGGTTTTGTTAAAATTTCATCAACTCCTTCACCACCTAGGCATTTTTCTATCCAGTGGGGTCATGTAGAGAACATTTACTCTAATCTGCCCTCTTTCTGACCCAGAGTGCATTTGTGAGTGATATAGAAGGTAAGTCACATGAAAAGAAACATTCTCTATGCCTGATTTTATTATTCATATTCTCCCTAGGTAAAAGAGATAATGGAACATATAATGTGTCATGTGTCTCTTATCATCATCATTCTTTCATTTACCTATTTTCAAAAGCAGATTACTTGTTTAAAATGTGCCAACTTTATTCTCAGCATTTGGGATACAAAGAGGAATCAACACATGGGAGATGTCATAGCATAAAACATAGGCGGAAAGGGGCCTCCCTCGTGGCACAAGGGGTTAAGTGCCTCACTGTGAAGCAATCCGCAGCCTCTGCAGCACGAGTTCGCTCCCCAGCTGGCCAGAGAGCAACCCACATGATGAGGCAAACCTCTCCTGTCTTGCCCGCTGCTCCCCTCAGCAGTGTATTTCAGTCAGTCTGCCTGTTCTGCTCCCCACTCTATCTCTGGTGAATCCTCTCACTCCCCACACCTCTGGCCTGTACCCCAGCTCTTGTATGCATAAATAAACCTTTTAAAAAATACATAGACGGATGATCACTATATAACACAGTTGCAATATAGTGTGCTTAGTAAAATATTAAAAATATGCTCCCAGTTCTGTGGGATCACAGAGGAGGAAATACATAAAATTTAAGCAAGAACTTCAAGAGAAATCCAATTCACGCAAAGATATCAAACAGTACATCTTCTATGCCTTCTGAACACAGAGGCTCATTCCTTCACCAACTAGTTGCTTTGTTTGGTTCTTTTAGGAACTGTGGCTCTAACAAAGCATCGCCTTCTTTCTGAGGGCGGAATCTCAAAAAACTTCCTCTTCTAAATATATGTTCACTCAAATGTTATACCAACTTAGGTTGGATGCCATCTTTTCTCTTGCTCATGTTGCTGCATATTTAACTATGTATGGCACCGAGAAATTCGGGACAAAGTTTGGATTGTTTTATCTAAGTGCATTCTGACAGAGTTCAGCCCCATCATCTACCCAGAATTCTAATGGGTGATAGTTCACCAACTCCTGTATACCAGGTGAGAACCTTGACAGCTATGATTATAATAATAGATGT